ATCCTGAAATAGCTATCGCACATCTTCACAGCAAGCCCTTTATTTCAAAATATAACGGGCTCAATATTCACACGTCCCTGTAAATCTCATTCTACAAGGCATAAGGCCGTTTTGGAATAGTGGTTTATTTCGAAATGTGACACTGTGTAGACAGCGCCAAAGTATGAAATAAGCTATTTCGAAATAAGATCAAAATAATATATGCAACTTGCATAGCTCAAATTGCGTATCTTATTTTGAGTTACGGTGCAGGATAGATGCACCCTGAGGCTTTTGCTTGGAACAGATTTAGCACAGACCTACTTTTCTGTATTCCCACAGAATTACAAACATTGGTAACCATATTTCAGCTATCCCTGCATGGCTGGTATTGGGTCACAAATTATGTTGTTTACAATGAGCAAAATACCACTCCATCTGCTGACTAACAAATTTAAGCAAAGCAGGAACTGTATTTACACAGACACACCTATGGTCTCCTTTCTCCCCTCTCCCTACCCCCACGCCTCCGGCCCTGCTTCCAGCCAGCTGTAAGGAAGCATTCCTTCAGATCCTGCTTATATATGTCCTGACCCTCCAAGCTTGCAGTCTATAACCCAGCCAGCTCCTTTTTTGGGGCTTCTCCATTTATACGCTATTTGTCATTTTATTTGTGCTCTTCTAAATGAGAGACTTCATCCACCCAGTTTTAAGCTAGTCAAAAGGCACAACCGGACAGTGTCTGCAAAACAGCTGGCTCTCAAGAGGAAAGGGTAGTTTTGAATAAGTCTTAAATAACACACAGGAGCTAATTGAAGACGTGACAGTAGTGAAGTCAGGAAGTACTAGTGGCCACAACACAATTTGGTTTAGCATCTAAGAGGCGGTTGTCACTTTTTGGTACCCTACTTTAAGAAGGGAAGGTTTCACTAAAGGAAGCCATAAAATTAAAAGTAAAGAAATAAAATCCCTAGAGGTGACATGGATGCTACTTAAAAACAATAACAGAGCCTCAGAAGGCACGTTATAATGCTGAACAAAAAAGGAAACAAGGCAGGCAAGGAATGTGCCATTATAGCTAAATGGCAAGGTCTGAAAAGCTAGTCAAGCCAAATGGAAATCTTTTAAAATTAGGAAATCTGACTAGTGAAAACAGCAAACAGTAGTATAAAATAGAGCAGGGAATAGTAACAAGGAAACTAGAAGAGCCTAATGAATTTTGAAGAGCAAACATCAAAAGGCATAAAACAAAGAAATGGGATTTAAGTATGCCTGAAGGAAGAAGGCTGTGATAGAGTTGCTAGGTCCGCTGGATCACTGGGCATTAAAGGGAGTAGCTGAGGAAGACAAGGAGATTGCAGAGAAACTACATGACTTTTTTGTATAAGTTTTCACTGCTTAGGCTGTTGAGAAGATTCCTACTTAGGACCTGCTTTTTTCTGGATTATAAAAAATGAGGAACTTTCCGGAAAGGTGTATACAGTGCAAAAACACATGCTGCAGGGATCTGATTTCTGAATCATAGTAATGATTATTAGTAACTAATTATTCTACTAGAGTTGCTGGAGCACATGTAAAGTTCCCTAGTGCACTTTAACATAGTGCTATTTCAATATCAGCATTCAGAGGTCTTTGAATTGAATTAGGATTGCTAGAAGAAAAAAGCCCAGTTTATAAGACATTGTATTACTTGTATTTAAGCTTCCTGACCAATAGTTGCAGATGTGATGTGATCCTTTCTTGATTTCTTTTCAAAAAGTTTCCATTTTAGTGACTATTCTGAAAAGTGACTGCAAAAACTGCTTCTTACTCAGCAGTTCTGATCCCAACAGGATTCCTCACCATCTGTGAAGGTAAACACCTGCTTAGGTTCATTAGTGGGCTGAAATCCAGCATTTTTCAAACTTGAACTCAGTTGGAGCTAGTAACCATAGTAAAACTAAGTGAAAAGGGTGTTTTGCAAGGCTAAAGCGGACATCTTTATCAACACACACACACAATCTCTGACCTAGAGCAGCAAAAAGCCGTCAAAAAGAGGAATTTAGGAATTGCTGAATGACAGCATTAGTTTTCAGTTCTGTCTGGAGTATCACCTTCCAGCTGCACATACAGAAATTAATAGCGTGGTTTATTACAGTATTGACAAACCTGGTACTTTCCTAAACTTTACACTGTAATAGGCATATTCACCTTGTGATTAGTCTCACGGCACCATCTGGTGGAAATTAGCTATCATTCAACATTCATCTAAAACAAGGAGTTACTTTAAAGATGAACAAATTTATTAGCTTGCCAACTCCACCTCTGGCTGCTATGCTCACCAACCTCCCCTCCCTGCTACTCTTGCCAACTCTCTCCCCCCCC